CTGACATTACAAGAGCAAGATGGCAGCAGCCGTATCCAGGATATTTTAGCTTCAAGTCTGTACAGACGGTACAGACAGTGGAGACGCATCACTATCTTTATATGCAGCCTATGGTGTAGGCAGTGCCAATCATCTGGGTAATTTTATATGCTGCAGCGGAACATTTTTGGCTTTATGCACCAAGAAGCAACTTTCATGGGAATGAAAGGGGTCTCACCACCAATACTGTGTCCAGTTATTTTTATACTGAACTAAAGAACTAACTTTTTTGAGTTAGCCTCTTATTGCGACTAGCTGCTTTTTAAATTCCTCAGTGGTGGGTCACACACACAACACGTAACAATGCCTCACTATGTCATGCATTTTATGCAGAACAGTGTGGAGGAATAATGCCTGAAGATGCTGCATGTAAGGGGCTAATATTCAACCAAAACCGCCATTATTTTTGGACTCTCAACCAAGTGTTTTAACCAACCACATATGGCACGTAGCATGCGAACTCTTGCCTTTTGGACACCATTGCCAGTTAACTCAATCTAGTCAGCAATTATGTTTTCCTGCCATATGTGAATGTATTCTGCAGGCGACAGGGTTTCCCATAAAGCTGCTTAAAATATGTGGATGAAAAGTTGCGATGTCTACCCACATGAAGAAGAAGCAGACGTGCTGAGCGAAGACAGAATGTGAAGTAAATCATCAGCAGATGTTTTAAGAGCTAACTGTTTTAATGGGGAATTTGTCCTTTAAGTAAAGCCATTTTTCCCTCTGAGGGATTTGGCAGCAGGTCGTCAGGGTCGCATTATGTAGCTCTGCAGACACGGCGTCCACACCCTCTGAGGGCACCTTCATCAAGACACTTCAATTTAGCGGGGGGCCACGTTGGAGGTGACACCGCTTCATTACACTGCACACTAACCCCCAAGCCGATCCTAGGGGTCAATTATTGATCCGATTGGTTCATTGTGATCGTTTATCTTATAAACGATCACAGCATCCCTCCCTCCATGCCTCCCTGCTCCTCAGCATTGTGATTGATCGCTGCCTGATCGCTAACCAAACCAAACTACAGCGATTTTCCATCAGTCAGTCAATTACTGCAGTGGACAGGTCATGCTTGCTGAAACAAAATGATGGGCTACGGCTCGCAGAGTGGGCGTCAAAGGAAACAGACACCCAGAGTTGCAGCTTCTGAGTCTTTTTTTTCTGGCTTGAATTGATGATTTGATGGTTCATTTATGTGCTGAGCGAGTTTCGGAAGCCTTGAGCTTTTCAAACCTGTAATTTGGAAAATGCATGGGTGTCACTGAGAAAACTGCTCTTCTCTTTTTTCTTCAAAAACACTGAGTAAAGTCATCTTATTCATCAAGTGGATCATCAAACGATTCACTTCTCCCACTTTAGACCTGTTGCCTTTTATGTGTGTGTGTGTGTGTGTGTGTGTGTGAGAACGTGTGTGAGAACTGTACAGAAACGTTTTTGAGAGATATTTAGCTCTCCTCAGTTATAAGTTATATTTTACTTGCATCTGGTGGGTTTGACAATGATGACTTTGGGTCTGTTTCTGGTTAAATAAAAATGATCTTACTCTTTTAAAAAGGGTCTATCTCTGTAGAGATCCTCTCCATAATGTTGTCAAACAATACTGAGCCAAGACAAACACTTTTACTGGACGTAAACTGACATTGCAAAATGTCCCAAGTGGTTACCTTGTAGCTACGTTTGTCTCGCAAAGTCTCGCAAAATACTAGAGGAATTCCAAAAGTTGTTGTTGTCATAACATGTCACTTAGACACAAAAACATGGGAAAATACATTGAAAATTAGCAAAGTTGTCCTTTAAATAAAAGCAAGAGTAGTAAGTAGTAAGAAATCACATCAGCAAAGTGTCCTTACTATACAAATTAAACATGTTATATATAATATTCATAATATTGGATGATTAATACACAGGATTAATTGACACATGAATGTGTGTGCAACATTTTAATATTATCTGGACAAAACATCATGTTTTTGGAAGAATGTTTTAAACCAGGTAATTCACAAGTAGAAGAGAGTAGAAGCAAAAGTATATATAATTATATAAATATTTTGTTGTGATTTATATTGACGTGGACAGAAAAAGTGCAAGTTCCTCAAAATTGCACTGAACTACAGTATTTGGGTAACTGTACTTAGTCACTTTCCACCACTGTGGACAAGAAACAAACACCCTCATCACAGCGCAGATTTATTTTTAACCGCCCAGACTTATTAAGTTTATTAATGATATATGATGCTGCAGTTTGAAGTTTGTTTTTTCTCAGACTGACAGCACAATGAGACAAAGTTCTGCAGACTTTCTCCTTACTTTGCAAATGTGTCTGAATTTACTTCTGCTCAGCTGCACAAACTGACTTCAAACTGCACATTTGCACAGTATGTACCTCAGCTGCAGAGACAGGCTTCTATTAGTCTTTATTTTTAATTCCACAGCCATAATCCCATCAGTACAACACAGTCATGTCGTCCTCACCACTTTCTCTTGTCATTCACTGATTAATTCCACTCACTTCTACTTTGCATTTCTTTTCCCTCACAGATGTTTCACATTATAAGCCTTCCAGTAGCTGAAATTGCATAATCACTGCCGCTTGGAAGTGTTGATTGTGATGCAGCATGACACCAAATAAAACTAAGGTAAGCTAGAATGTGTTTGAATTAGACCCAAGTCATAGTCATGTGTCATATATTAATCTGCAACATTTTACACTCAAATAAACTACTCTGATGTTTACTTTCTTTGTCATTTTAGTTTTTATTTATTTTAAATTTTTCTTTTGACTTTTCTCCTGACTCGTACCATGGTGTATTAATAATATGGAGCTAGGGTCAAGGGGGTGAGATTTGGAGAAAGTACTCAGAATTTTCAACATTAAAGTTTTAAATTCACAAAAAAACCTAATTCTTTTTTTTTTATCTATATATTGTATACTTCTTATTTTACGGGATGAAAAAAAACACAAATTTAAGTGGGAAAAAAATCCTAACTCTGCCAGTACAAAGTTGAAATTTTGCAAAAAAAAAACAAACAAAAACAAAACAGAAATCCTCGGAGATTCCTATCTATATATTCAAGATTGGAATATAATTCACGCTGTCTTTCCTTTTTTTTTAAATAGAAATATGGGACTCGATCTCAGAAAATATCCAGGTTTTTTCTTGGAATATAACCCCAACTCCATACTTTTACCTACAATAGACCAATTATGCTGTCATAGAAAGATGAAATTGGCATACTGAAACTAAAAGGAAAAAACATCAGGATCAATGAGTAAGAACAGTATTTTGGACTTTATTTGAGCCCCTGCTGTCAAATATCGATATTTATGTAAGAATTTGAAGCATTTAAGTGCAACACACACCGCCGGCGCGGCGCTGTGGTCGTCAAGGGCCGCCCCCCAACACACACTAGCAGCGGCGCGCAGCGGCACCGTCAACATGTATTTCCCACCCCAGCCCTCTAGGTGGCTGTACCTACACTAGTTGCCAACGGTTGCCAACTGCTAGTAACAGAAGAAGAAGAGGAAAAACTTTGAGGCAACAACAACTTGAATTTCACAGGTGAGTTTCTTATCAAAGTCGTCTTATTAAAAATTTGAAACAACCGGAGTTGATCCTACGAGACGAGACGTACATAAAAGGCTTTTCTCGCAGCGCCGCCATGAGCGCCGGCCGTGCTGGAAATAGAGCAGTGGGCTGAAGCAGAGCGGCGAGGCGCGTCGGCCGGCGCCAGTGTGGGTTGGTTCATAGAATATAATGGAGACGGGCGTTTTGACGCGCGGCGTACGGCGGCGGTGTGTGTTGCACTTAAACAATTTAAAGATGTAGGATTCTGTGATATGACGGTATTTACTGTGCAAAAGTAGAAATGTGTCCATCAGCAGAGATTTGCCAACATTATTTGTACTGTATGAAGCAATTCTGGGCTGGATTCTCACATGATCTCACAATCTCTCGAATCCAGCTGCCTCACGAGGTAATGTGATTTGGACAGCCGTGGAGGAGGAGAGTGAAGTTGTAAATACAGAAATCTATAACACTTGAAATATTGTTGTCAAGCTTCCATTTTTATAGAATTTTAGTTTTACTGTTTTGGGTATTTTTTTGTTGTCTAATGTGAGGCTGTTAATGTTGTTTTTTTTATTTGCATGGAAGTTCCAATAAAAGAAAATAATCAAATGTGATAAAATGTGGTTAAACTTTGTCTTGATTGAATTTACAGAAGAATTACTGTATTAGGATTTATGCAGTTACTGTGCTATAAAATTACAAATACTGTGATAGAAGATTTTAACCATAATGCTAACCCCTACAAGGATACAACACTATGAGTAAACATTTGTCTTTTCATGCCACTGCACTGCTACAGCAACATTAATTGAAAAAACATTTTGTTGTAAGGTAGATGAAATAAGGTGAGAACGGACTTAATTGAAGCATTACAGTGGAAAAATGTTGCTGCTTTGCTCCACATAAGGTTCTAGCAGATAATCTGTGCAGCTAACTTACCAGCAAATAGAAATAATAATTTGATTTTCTGTTCTGATTACCAGAAGAAATGACTTTTGCAGGCAATAATGTGAATGTGGTAGTTTTCATTGCAGTAATTTAAATAGTAACAAACCTGGTGACTAAATCTGGAGGCTGATATTTCACATTTATGGCATGTTCTCAGTCTGGGCTTCATATCATCTTGATTAGTTGATCATATTTACTCATAAAGATGTATTTTCATCTTTAATCACAGCAGGAAACATACTTAACACTGGTTTTCTATGACATTGTGACATTTGTGCATTACAGAGCACACCCTACAAACAGGCCTCATTAAAGTGAATGAGGCGCTCGCACCCTTTGATGCAGGTCTTTAGTTGGAGGTGTGTGCAGTTCTAAGCTGTGGGTGCAGTATGTTATTCAGAACGAGCAGTTTTATGAATGTTGTGTGTGTGTTTGACTCACGCCATGACGATGACACTGAAGTCGAGCCAGTTCCAGGGGTCCCTCAGGAAAGTGAAGGGCCCCACACAGAAACCCCTGGCCAAGATCTTTATGAGAGACTCGAACGTGTAGATACCTGTGAAGGTGTACCTGAGGGATGGAGGACAGCAGAAGGGAAATGAGAAAGGGAGGATATTAAGAGAGAGAAGAGTAAAGAGAAAATGGGTGATGATAGATAAGAAGGAGAGGAAGGAAGGAAGGAAGGAAGAGAAATGAGAAATAAGAGAATAGGAAGTGAAGGAGGAAGATGTGAGAAGGGAAGAGAGGAGAAAGAGAAGTAAAAGAGAAAAGAAGGGAGGAGAGATGGGCGAAATGAGAGAGGAGATGAAAGGAAAGAGCAGAGAGAGAGAAAGAAGGAAAAGAAGAGTGGAAGAAAGAGGAAGGTTGAATATTCATAAAATGAGCAGAGCCTCAACTCTCCGTCAAACATCCTTCACTTATTTATTTTGTCCCCAGAAACAAGTTTGACCCGACAGGGCGTCAGCTCAACCGTACAAAGACAGACAGACAGCAGAGAGAGAGGCAGTCACGTCAGCAGCAGCAGCTGGAAGCCACAGCTGAAATACCTCAAAGGGTCAGGTCATCCAGAGTAACCTGCCTGGTGTCAATGTATTCAAATACCTTACAATTTAACTCCTCAAGTTTTAAATATCAGTCTGCAAGATAAACCTAATTTTCTTTGGGAACTTATTACAACAAAAGAGTCCTTTTGTGCCAAAAACAAGACAGCTGGAAATTAACTACATTTACATTCAGGGTGCTTTCACATCTGACCTGTTTGGTTCAGTTAAAACTAATTTAGGTCTGTTTGCCCATTTGGACTGCTGTGAAAGCTGTCAAACAACCAAACAGAGACCACTTGAAAAGGTGAGTCTTGTTCTGCGTCCTAACAGACTCTGGAGCCGTTTGTAGGATTAAATAGTAGCACATAGGTGATTTTAGCATTTCAAAAGCTCAGCCACTAATAAATCCATCTGTGGATCATGAAATCTGTTCAGGAAGCGTTTCGTAATTGATCTGCAGGGGGCCATGTATATGATCTATTTATGCAAATCATATAGTGACCATGGTGACACGTATGCACATCAGTGCAGGTATTTTTCCTGATTAATAGGTCAAAAGCTTTTAAAAGTATTGTGTTTGTATCCAATTCAGTGAGACTGTTAACCCTCTGAGACTCGCTGGACCGTCGGTGAACCCGGCCAACAATCCCGTCTTCAAGAGGCTCTAGCTACCGGGCTGGGTTTCAAAGTAGACATCCCCTGACCACTCACCTCAAGATATCTGAATAAAAATGGATAGCATGGGTAACCATGAGACTTCCCTTTACATAGATCTCCAGTTTATGCTAGTCCAATGCTGGTTTGGGCAAAAAACATGCAGGTAAAAAAATAAGGAGAGACTGGCTGCACTGCACTGAAATGTACTGGACTGGACTATATTGTACTGTGCTGTACTGTGTTGCACTGTACTGTACTGCACTTAATTGTACTGCACTGCACTGTGACAGAAAGATGTATATCTTTCTGTACTGTAAGTGAGATTTTTAATTGATACTGTCTGAAACATGATTGTCTCATTAAGTAACTGACAGACCAGCAGACATACAATACAGTACAGCTGTAAACCCAACAAGTAGCAACTTTTAGTGGTTTCTGTTTAGTCAGAGTCAGACCGCCAATTTTCTTTCATCAAAATCTAATTTGAAGCATTGACAAAATGGTATTAAATCAAAAATAAACTTTGCATTTGACTTTGATTGCCACAGTTTGTACAGAATGATCAGCCAAATGTTTTCCTCCACCCTCTGGATGCCGTTACATCATCAGACACACAGTGTGCTGGCATTTGCTGGCAGCGCTACATTCAGCAGCAGTTAGACACTCTGTGGGAAACCCCTTAACTCCCACAGAGACAGACAGACATACCGACAGTCAGACGCACAGAATTTTCCAGGTGTACTTACTCCAGGTATTTGGCCCAGTATGCCGGCTCGGACATGGCCATGAAGCAACAGTTGGTCAGGATGGTGCACATGATGAACAAACTGAATAATGTGAGCAGGTTAAGGAAAAGGAGGTTTTACATCAAAACCCATGATAGAACAGAAAAACAGATCTTTGTGACCTGATCAATAAAAGCAAGAGTCACACAGGTGTCAGTTCAAGTTGCATTGCATGTATAAATGGTATTAACAAGAAAATCACAGAAAAATACTGTGAAACTTGATGCAACAGGTGCAGCAGCGTCTCACAACACTTTATTGACATAATTAATAAATCCATGACTTGATCCCATCCAACAATATTTTTGAAATGAAATAGAAACACTGACAATATTTCCATTACTTCTCATTATCATTTGAAAAAGTCCTCCAACCTTTACATCCCTTGTTATTACCCTCGAACACATCTAACTGGAGTGTTTCCTGAAATAGTGTCCCTACTGCTTTCATAGTTAACCGAAAGAGGAGCTTGTATGTGGCAGTTTAACTGCTGTAGTTTTATACATGTTGTGAAATGGTTGCAGTTGCACCAAAACTAAGTGGGTAGGTTTAGAAAAAAGATCATGGCTTAGAATATGTTCATTTGTTGCAATGCGATATGATATGATACAATATGACGCGATGCGATGCCATACGATACGATACAATACGATATACTTTATTGTGCCCATAGGGAAATTTGTCTTGGACTCAGGAGCTGTAGTATTGCTACGAATGCTAAGTATTGCTGCCTTACCATAATAGTCCACAAGAAATTAAGCATACACCATAAACACATAAAAACACATACCACACATAACAGTATTGCCCATCAGCCTTTCATTGTAACTGCACATAACACCAGTATAAAACAGAGCACCACAAGCAAAGCAACACAGTCCCTAAAGTATCAACCAACATTATTTGAAATCTTAATCGAGGTAGGCACAAATTAATTTTTAACATGATTCAGTCTAAATTTGGGAATCTAGTATCGTCTGCCCGAGGGTAAAAGTGCATACTAAGCTTGGAGAATATGGGAAGAGTCAGGTTACTAAGGTAACAAGACATACCAAACATGAGTGACATTCCACACATATATCATGTGAAATATGTGTGGAAAAAGGTAAAATACTATAACTCAAAGTTGACTCCTGGTTCACAGGGGACATGAACAGCGGTCTCCTGGGTGGAAGGCATGTGTTTGTTTGACCCATCTATCCACCCCAACCTCTTAATACTACTTTTCATACTACATAAACTGACATCCTTCTTTGCTCTCATCATAATTACTACAGCCACTCTAGCTAACAATGAGCTAAATATGAGTCTCAATCAGGCCCAAAGGAACACAGCTCAGCTTTGCTTCCAGTTGTTCCCAGTAGCCCCTTGTGGTGTTGCAGCAACAAAACCCCTGCTGCCAAAAAGCATTTTCCCCATAGGCCATTATTACAAAAGTGACGTCTGTAAATCTGTTGACAGGACACCTTGAACTGCAAACAAACATTTATGACTCTTTCATGTATGAATTTTTGTTCCATGGTAGTTTTATCTTTGTAAAACTTTCCTGGAGCCAAGAAAAAGCTATTTAAAAATCTGTGATGTCATCATAATGTAAAATCTATGAACCAAGCAGAGCTCATGGACGGAGCAAGCAGCAGAAACACTACTGCACATGTTCAGTGGGCCGCATACCGCAGAAGTAAACCTAAAAGCTAGAAAACTTTTGTGGTGTATGCCCCAGACAAGCAACTACAATCAAATGAATAGTTGCCATCTTGGTCCAGTATCTCGTTATTATACAACTGTGGTAAGCTGCTTGTACAAACAACCTATGTAGTCCTGTTTTGGAGGAGGACAATTTTTATCTTGATAAAGACTAATATATGGGAAAAAACTGGCCCCTCTGGGAAAGTCAAGGAGTTTCCTGTTGCTGTGTTACTGGGTCTATAGTAGGAAAGATGGAGGACATTCTATGTCTGTCCTGTCTTGACTTGGAATCACAGGCAAAGAAAAAAAAGGGAGTGGCCCCTGAAATCTGATTGGCCACCCCAGGTGCCACCCCATTACCCTACACTATGATCAGCTATCTGCTTTGTCGGAGGCGGGGCCTTACGAGAAGTTTTGCAAAATTTCAGCATATCCCCATACAACGATTCGTACAAGTCAGCGCCCCTTTAGTCTGAGTGGGCGGAAGTTCTCTGCATAGATCAGCCTCTCATTGGGCGGAACAAGCCACCCGCTGAAGTCCCGCCCTACCACCTCCGGTTGTGTAGCAGTTTTCAACCATTTTCAACACATCCTTTACTAACTTTTGCGGTGTTTGATCTTGCGGGGATGTAGCCATTTTTCTACCATGGTTCGCGTACTGTAGAAGATATTTTTGTGGGCGTGTTACACCAAAACCAGTTTCCCCCCCTGGCAATATTTTTGCAAGCGCACCATTGCTGTGGCACCAACCAGAACGACTGTGATTGGTTGAAAGAAATACAAGCAGCCGGGGCGTTTTTTTCTCCAATCTTAAAGTGAGAGTCGGCCCAGCCAGACCTTTCTTTTCTTGAGAAAGGTCTGGTGAGCGAGACTAGCGCCCTTTAGATGAAATTATGTCCTTAACATAAAATGAAGTAATTAAAGTATGGAAGCATTATATTATATTTGTGTGATGCCACTCTGTCGTGCTGTGATTGATAGGTCTGTCCTTTTTTAAATACAAATACAGAAATGTCGGAAACTGTAATGTTAACAATTAAATTAGACGTGTGGTAAAAGCCAGGCAAAATTAAGGCATTTAGATGTGTCCAAGTCATGCCACCCCTGCATAAGTCAGTGCCCCCACTGTGACAAAGTGCTTTATATGATATAAATAAATAGTCTAGAGGAATCAGATGTTTGACCTCCTCTTCCCTGAAATGTGTGAAATGGTTTTTACAGCTTGTTGGGAAGCAGGTGGGTGGAGTTTAGCAGAGGGGACAATAAGTGCCAGAAAGAGAATTAGACAGTCAATTTAGTGTACTTTTCTGTGATTTATGGCTCTTAGTCACTGTGCATAAGAGCACCAAGTCAAATGTAAAATGGAAAAATGTCCTCGGTGTGATGTTGCCGATCGAGAAACTGAAGCTTTTATGACTTGTTCCCTCATTGTGAGTCTCTCTGGAGAGTGTCAGCTAAACGCCTGAAATGTAAATGTAGAAACGTCTCTTTTCTGCCGTGTGTGTGTGTGTGTGTGTGTGTGTGTGTGTGTGTGTGCCGACTACATGCCGAAGTGATTTTACATGTTCTTTTTTTTTTTAAATACCTTTCACTGATTTCCCATTAGGGCTAAATAAAGACGAAGTGAACTGAAAGGCTGTGCCAAGTTAGCATGTGTGTTTCTGCGCTCCCCTCCGATGCCTGCCACATTCAATACAGCAAATTAATATGCCATTAACAGCCCCAAAGGAAGGAGGGGGCCCACTCCTGTCTAATCATCATATAATGGGGAGCAGTAACTTTTCCAAACTGTCAGAAGGCAGCGATACATGTTAAATATCACCTTCACCTGCCATGTTTCAGCACGCTACACGCGCTGAGGTGGGAGCAACCTCGCTCAGCTGTCAATCACAGCTATAAATGAATCATAATTATTGTAATTTGGCAGAAGGAACATACTCCCCGAGTGAAAGCGGCCCAAACTCCAGCTGAAAGTTGTTTGAGCTGCAGGGTAATTGTTGATTGAGTGCCGGCTGTAATGATGTTGCTGGAGCGCGGTGGCAGGCGGTGAGATAACACGGTTACCGATTGACAAACAACGCAAATGTCCCCCTGCCGCTGCCACCGCAGAGCCATGAGCTAATTATGCCGTAATGATAGCCCTGCTGTTGTGGACCTCCCAGGCCACCGTACCGGTAATGTTGTTACACCTCCCACATCCACCACGGGATCTATTTTCTCTCTCAAAGCTTTTTTTGCTTCTTCCCTCTTTCCATATTTGTGTGTCTCCATCCTTCTTCTTCTTCTCTTCTTTCTCACCTCCATCACTCACTCTTTTTTCCTAAGCTCACTCAAGACTGCAGTTAAATACTTTTATCATCCAAAATCAAACCTCCTAATTTCTCTCAAGCCACCAGTCTAGTTGCGCCACAGCTTTTACTTTGAAAGAACAGCAGGAAGTAAATGTATCTGGATCAGCAGCACAAACACAGAGAACAAGGAACCAGGCAGGGGCGTAGCCCTCATTTCCGAAGTGAGGGGGACAAATTGTTCAGAGGTCTATTGAGTGATTTATCATCCTGCAAAATGTGATGTGCAAAATTAGTCAAATATTTTTAAGCCTTCTCCCTGTGCTACCTATTGCAATACACATTTTAGAGTATAAATAAGAGTATATAAGTACCCTACACAACCCTTCTTCAAAAAATTAGACTATCCCTTAAAGAATTATCTGCGACAAAGATGCCTGCAAGATACACAACAAGAAAGCTGAGGTTGCCACGGGTTACCATAGACTAATTATGCATCTCAAAACTGCATTGAGGCTCTCAGGAAGTGATCCGGTGATTACACTAACAAGATACAAACTACTGTTTATTCACACAAAAGTATGTTGAACAATAGCACACATATTGGGTAAGAAGTGCATAGTATGAGATGGATGCAGCCTTTGACTTGCACAAAAAGACTTACAAACTGCATTGGCTTAAAAAACAATACAACACTAATATGGTGCAAAGACTGTGGTAGCCAGGTGCCAACACAATTTCATACAATGCTATTTAAAGCGACCAGGTGTTCCCTCAAACACAGCAGCTCAGCTCCACCTCAGCAACACAAAGTCAGAGAATTACTGACAACATCAATTCAACAGCAGAGAAGCAACACGAGGAGACACAGCTAGTGGCTGTAGTGCAGTCTGATGGATGAACGTGGTCCCTGAGCAATGCCTCATGGGACACAAAGTCAAATGTGTGTCCTCCAGAACAAAGGCCCAATGGGAAATGTAGTCAAACAGTGTTTTCTGTCAAAAACGACACTTGGTGTTAATACTGATCAACTGACAGAGAAAACACACAACACAGTTTGTTTTCTGGAAGTGT